AAGGCAGTTGGCAGAGCTTGGCTGAGTCCTGGGAAGACTGACGAAGCTTTCAGGGAATTACAGACTTAGAGAATGTCAGGTAGAGAAATGGAGTCCTGGAGAGGATCTCACAGGGGTGGCGCTAGGACTCGACATCCTGGGTCCATGTCTGCTGCTGTTTTCTTCTTCCTGCCTTGCTAAGGCTCAGGGGTAGTTCTCCTTTAGGTAAAAGAAGCATCGACACTGTGGTGTGTCTCCGTTCCTCACTCTTTCCCTCTTCCTCTTCCATATGAAGAGAATGGCCCGTGAGTCCTCTTGGACTCAGCCTCAACACTTACCAACTCATAGCTCTTCTTCCTTCTGCCCTCCACTCATTCCCACCTTTTATTATTTTGAAGGAAATCGCCAACACCCCGTGGATTCACGTGTAAATATTTCAGTGTGTCCCTTTAAAGCTTAAGGTACACCCTTTTGAACACACGCGCAGCTATGTGCTGAATCACATCAGCGAGCCAAGGATGAGCCTGACTCAGCCAAGACCTCTAGAGACTAAAGCAGAGGCTGAAAAAGCCCTTCAGGAGGCTACAGTGCTAGAAAACAAACAGGAGACAGGGAGGAGACATTAGACCCGACGTACAGAAGCAGCTGCCACCCGGGAGCGTTTGCGCTTCGCTCCCCAAAAAACCAACGAGAAAATGGGAAAGAACTTTCACAACTTAGGAAACCATGATGGGGAGTAAAAACACAGTTGAGGGATCGGGAGACAGAGCGACATAGCTCAGAAAGAAAGGAAGAGCAAAGAATGTGAAAAAAAAAACAAGTAGATGAGGAAAGAGAAGGAGATTGGAGTGGTTTAGAGCGTGAAGGGGCTTGCCTCTAAGACCGATGGCCTGAGTTTGATCATGGGAGGAGAGAACTGATCCCTGCAGCTGACCTTCAGCTTACACTTGCGTGCTGTAGCATGAATGTCTTCTCTACACATACACACAGACGCGCAGACACGCACATGCACACATACATACACAAATAAATATAATTTTTTTATTTCTAAGGCTGGAGAACTAGTCCATAAAACCCATTTCCAAACTAGCAGATAGTAGTAGAACCTTTGGGACATGAGGCCTGGCTGTCAGAAGTAGGTCGCCGAGTGGGGAGGATTTGAAAAGATGTAGCTCCGTTTCTGGGCTGTGACATGAGGACAGGACCCACTGCCGCTCAGTCCTCTGCAGTGAGCACTGTGCCCTCCTCGCTGTGTGGACTGAGATCCTCTGAAGCAGAGAACCTGAGTACATTTTTCCTCCCTTAGGTTGGTCCTGTCGGGTATCTTGGTCAGAGGGTGCCAAGTAACTGCCGTAGCCATTGTAGGCAGAATCTCCAAATTATCCCTTCTTCTGTAGCCCACACCCCACATTGCATCACTGGGGAACCCCCGGCCGAGGTGTTCCTTTCTCTGACTCTGCTCTCCTCTGCATAATCATCCCCCAACACTTTTCAACATTAACATGGGGAAGCAATAGAGAAAATGCATGGGTACATCTTAGTAACTGGCTAGGCAGGAGGGAGTTCTTGTTAAGAGCCTGACCCTGTGTGTGCTTCCTGGAGCAGGGTATCGTGGATTCTAGAAGAGAATGAGGTTTTTATCCTCCGGGAATCAGATCCCATGGCATTCTAGAGGAAAAGATGATAGACACTTAGATGCCCCAGCAGGGAGTATTTGGACGTGTGACCTATTGAATTGTGTGCAGTTGGTTTTGGCTGCTGAGGAAGGAGTAGCATTGGGATAGCAGAGAAGACGAGTTAGTGGGCCATAGCATTGAGGAAATTGAGTTAAGCCTTAAAGGCAGAGTTTCTTTCTCGTCTCTGGACCACATGGCACAGATGTGGAGAACAAGGCTATGAGGTGAGAAGGTGGATTCTGCTCCTGTCCCCCCCCCTCCCCCATCAACCAGACACAACTGACCTAATCTTTTCACATCTCTTTTGACTGGATATAACAGGGAGAGTCATCCCCCTACGTCTTAGAGAGGACTAAAGGACTCCGAAAGATGATTTTAGTAAGCAGCCATGTTCAGTTACACAGCGCATGATCCCAAATGAGCAGCTGTCCTATTTACGTATATAGCAGGAATGTATTACTATGCAGTATTATTATTAAGCTATAATGTGACTCACCTTGAAAACATTAAGTGAAGACAGATATCATACCACATCATTCTATCTTATGAAGTATTCACAATCGGTAAGTCAAAACCTGATTGGTGGTTTCTCATGCCTGGGAGGAGAGAGGAATGGGGACTACTGTTTGCTTAGTGGTTACAGGACTTCCTTTGGGGTGATGAAAATGTCCTGGAACCGATGCAGGTGGCAGCCATGCAGCGCCGTGGAGGAGCCGCACTCTACTGGATCGTTGGCTGTACAGTGCTTGATTGTCTGTTTCCTATTTCATCTCCAGTGACAAGTGTCGGACAGCATGTGAAGTGTACCAGTGCTGGTGCTGGGTAGACTAGGGCGTCAGAACGGGGTAGCCTGCCACCGCCTGCTGAGGTGGCAGACGGGTTTCAGACTGTAGTCCCTCTTTGTTGATGAGGACTCCTCCTAGGTCGTGGAGTCCAAAAGGGGCAAGTATGTGAGGTCAGCTGAGTAGGAGGTGGGTGGGATGGCGGTGAGCAGGTAGAACTGACCCGCAGGTAGCTGTCCTACTCCATGCGGACGGGCAGTCCATGGCTGAATCTTGCCCCTTCAGTCTTACATCTCGTTAACAAAGCCCTCAAACAGACTAATAGGAAACGTCATCTTTCTCTCTGTTGTACCCTGTTCCCACCACCCAGGGCTTTGGGTGCCTGGACCTCACTCGGTGTGTAGGAGAGCACTCTCTCTGAGGACAGTCAGTGGCTGGTGGCCTCTGGAATGGGAATGGGGAATTTCCTTAGTGTCAGTTGCCTGGCTATTTGAATGTCTACTTTCCTGTTGTTTCTGCCTTGGAAGATTCTGGGAAGGTTTTTTTTTTTTTGGTCTCTAAATATGGAGAGGAAGGATTTTTTTCTTTCCTTGTTTTGTATCTGCTCAAGCTCCTGGGTGGGGGAAGCCAGGGTGCGGAGGGATGAGAGGGTGTGGAGGAGGAGGGAACTTAGTCCATTAGGTCTAGGGTGGGGTTGTTTTCTTCCCAGAAGCCTCCAGTCCTGTAGCTACTGGTAATCCCGCCATACACGAAGGACTTGGAGCTCTTTGGCCCCTCTCCCTTCAAGATGTGACAGTTCAGTGGGCGGAGTAGGGGTGGAGAAGAGGGGTGTGGCTGTGTCTTGAAGCACCCCCTCTTCATCCTAAAAGTTGACCCAAGTACTGCCATCCTAGGCTCTGTTCTTTAGCTGTGGAGGGGTCTTTGCTGTCAGGGTCTGCAGTGTGAGTGAGGCATCTCGGTCCAGCCTACTTCAGAGGCCCTGTAGCACATGGAGGACAGTGAGAAACTTCTAGGTCAGCTTGGCACTCTGGGCTGAGAGTTAACTTGTTTTTACTGTTTTCCCAGGCCCAGCTAAATCCCTTTTAAAATGTAGTTGCTACACTGTCTCCAGCAGGTTTCTTCCTCACAGGGTGAAGAGGGAACCTTCCTTCTTGCTCTGAACTCCCACAGACAGATTCAGGCAAGGCTGTGTCCAGCTAAAGAGCTTTGCTCACACAAAGCTTTTGAACCATCCCACTTAGGACAAGGAGGTTTGTCCTGCACTTATCCAGACAGCTCCCTAGCCCCCCACTTGGCAGAGTGTACAGTATGGCACCTTAGTCAGTTACGTTTGGGGTGATTTTTAGCTAGATTGTCTCCCACCAGGTTACATTTATGGCTGGGACCACCATATGGGTGAGGCGGCTTCTTCAGCTGCCTCCTTAGGAGAGCCAGGCTGCCTCCCACACTGCAGTGCATTGGAGACCTCCCTGCACCAGCTCCTCTTCCTTGAGCGTGCTCACTGAGGATATCATGAGTGTGTGCGCATGTGTGTGCCTCTGACCCTCCCCAGCTCATCAGCCATTTCTCACTTGGTTGTGGGGGGCCTCCCTGGATTATGACGAAATCTCCAGGACCCAATAGGCAGACTTACTTAAGAGTGTCAGGAGTGTCCACAGCACATGGGCTCCATGTGTCTAAGGCAGCTATACAAAATGGTAAACTTATTTAAAACACGCATTTTTGGGGGGGTGGGGATGAGGTTTTTTGCCATATATATATATATATATATATATATATATATATATATATATATATATAGAGAGAGAGAGAGAGAGAGAGAGAGAGAGAGAAAGGATGGATAGATAGATAGATAGATAGATAGATAGATAGATAGATAGATAGATAGATAGATAGATATTTGTAACTCAGTTGTGTGGTTCCCGAACATGAACTTTGTAGATGATGTCAGTGTCACCGTGTCAGAAGGTGGGTGGGATATGCTTGTAAGGAAGTCACAGATGCCGTCTACACACTGTATCTGAAACTTTGAAAGTCCAACATGCGTCTCCAGTCCCTGGGACCTGTGAGAGGGTATAACCCAGGTGGCTGCCCCTCAGAAGAGTCCGTGTGACTCACAGCTCTTCTGTCAGTCACCCTGCGGCAGGAGAGCAGGCTCTCAAATCAGGCTGCCTGGGATCCAGCCCTGAACTGTGACACAAAGAGGGCAATACAGGCTGAGTTCCCCTAATCCTGAATGGGTAGGACCAGAAGAGTTTCAGAACTTGGGGTCCTTTCAGATTTGGAAGCACCTTTGTAGACTTTTACCTCTAAATTGTTTTTTTTTGGATAAGGGATGTTCAGCCTGGAATGCCTGCCTTGTGAGGGCATTGTGGGCACTTGAGATGATGCCAGCAGAAATACACGGTGTGGAATGAACATGTTGTGGGTAGATGTAAAATGGCGGTTCTGCTGTCTGCGCACGATGGGCAGAGCAGAGCCTGCAGGGGGTGGCAGGGGGATGGCGGAGACCCTGTGATTAATGCTTACCTGTCTTCTTCTTCTGTGTTGCTTTCTTCGTCAGTATTGATCCTGCAGAAAGTGGAGAATGGAGACCTGAGTAACAAGATTCTGAAGATCACTGACTTTGGGCTGGCTCGGGAGTGGCACCGGACCACCAAGATGAGCGCGGCGGGGACATACGCTTGGATGGCGCCCGAAGTCATCCGGGCTTCCATGTTTTCCAAAGGCAGTGATGTGTGGAGGTAAGATCCTGAGGTGCAGCCTCGGAGTTCCCGACAGGTCTGTTTTGCCTTCACGTTTCTGAACTTGTGATTGAGGTTGCGTCGGTCCAAGGCACCCCAAGTATGTCTGGGTGACCTCTCAAATAATCTGTACTGATTTCTGTGTTGCTAAGGGATGCTGTGGCAATTGCTTCATCCCTGAAGGCACTTTATGTGGTAGATAGCTCCTCAGGAGAGGTCAGCAGATTCCAGGGGCACCATGTACTTCCGTCTCTGACCTGTAGGGTGGGAAGTCACCCTACACCAAGCAGTAGCTTGGCTCAGCCACATTGCTGGGCTTCAGCGGCTGCTACTGCTGGACTCAAGGTGAACTTAACCCGGTGTCCTCCCTGAGCTCCTGAGCAATGCGTACTCTTTGTGCTGCCTTTCTTGATAACTTGGAAATTGTCCTTTCCAGTTATCTAGTTATTCTTCCACTCAAGACTCTGTATGTTGGACGTTCATCTAGAAATGGGAATAGATGGGTCCCCAGCAGGCCCTAAGAGCTGTGGAGTTACAGATTAGACATGGCCAGCCGTCTCTACTAGCAAGTGTCAGTCTAAGAGGTCACAAGGACATAGATTTAAAAAAAAAATCATGTTGCCATTGAGGGAGGATGAGCTGCCATAGGATAGACGTTGTCCGACATGTCTGAAAGTAGTGACACCTTCACCTGTGTAAGAAAAGACTGGGTTATCAGTGCACCTCAGCCTAGGACCAGTGCTTCCTCTCACGTGACAGAGTAAGCACGTGTGCGTGTGTTTATGTTTCTATGCATGGGTATTTCCTTTAAAGTGACTTCTTTAAAGTATGTAGGTCAGTACTTGTTAGCATCTATAAAGCTCACTTCAGGACTGGGATGTGGCTCAGCAGGTAGAGTAGTGTGCACAGGACCCTGGATTTCGATCCTCAGCACCAGAGAACTGGGTGTGGTGGTATGGGTATGTAATCCCAGTACTCTAGAGGTGGAGGCAGGAAGATCAGAGGTTCCGCTAGTAGAGGCCAGCCTGGGATAGGCAAAACTCAAAAAACAGAAACAAAGACCCAACGAAACCTAAATAAGCTGAAGTACATGAGTAAATTGAGCGTCGTCCACCACTGTTACCTGCTTCCTACGCTGCTATAACACGTTTCCACACACCAGATGATTTAAAGCCATAGAGATTTGCTCTTTCATAGCTCTGGAGGCCAAAAGTGTGAAACAGGTACAGCAGGGCCCTGTCCTAAAGATCCTAGAGGAGACCCCAGTCCACTTATGGACTCTAAGTTCTAGAACATCAACAGATATCGTTCAGGCCTTCATTTAACCCACTGCGATCACTGTTTCCAAAAGGGGAGGCATGAGAAACCCCATGCCTCCTGCTTGTCATACTTTCTCCCCGTCTGACCTATTTGCTGTCTCCAGGTTAGACTCCCATGGCCATTTCACATCAGTGGACTCACATAATCCGGGTTCCTCCGTCACTCACTTCTCACATTTAACGTGCTCACAAGTCCACCCATGTGGTAGCTTCATTAGAAATGCATCCCTTTTACGGCTTTTTAGTATTCTGTGATACAGGCAGGCCATGTTTGCTCACTTGCTCATTCATTACGTGATAGCGATTTTTCTCTTTGGGGGATGTTATGAGTAAGACTACTGTGGACCTGGACACACGAATTCTTTTGCGACTCTGTGTTTTCTGCTCACTTGGGCATGTGCCTTCATGCATTTGAGTAGATGTGTAACTTTTTGAGGAACGAACAAACCGTTTTGTCCACAGATGCTCCGTTGAAATCACAGTGGTCCATTCCACCAACTTCTCCACTTCCATCTGTCACTTGGTGCAGCTGTTTGAGTTGTACCTAGTCTGTGAGGCAGTGTTTCACTGGGTTGTTGTTTGTTTGTTTGTTTTCCGAGACAGAGTTTCTCTGTGTAGTTTTGGTGCCTGTCCTGGAACTCACTCTGTAGCCCAGGCTGGCCTCAAACTCACAGAGATCCTCCTGGCTCTGTCTCCCGAGTGCTGGGATTAAAGGCGTGCGCCAGCGTGTGCCACCACTGCCCGCTGCCTGGTTTCACTGCATTTTCAATTTGCATTTCCTGAATGACTGTTGAAGTTGAGTCTCTCTTGTGTTCATTGAGCGTTGTGTATCTTCCCAGGACACCTCTCTGTTCAACTCTTTTGCCAATTAAAAACTGGCTTGTCTTTTGTTATTTTTGAGTTTTAAAATATTTTTATTATTACATGTATTTTAATACATGATTTAAATTTTTTTTCCACTCTGTATTTTTTGGCTAATTCTCAGTTGTGTAGTTTGAAACCCAAATGGTTCTTAGTTTTCTCTTCTCGACTGACATTTGGTGTCAGCCTCAGAAAGCATTACTTCAGTCAGGGCTGTGAAGATTCTTAGCTCTGTTTCCTTCTAGGGATTTTATAATCTTGGTTCTCACCCTGGGGTTTCTGATCCATGTTGACTTGATTTTCATGTGGTGTAAGGTGGAGGCCAAGCTTTATATTTTTGTGTCTGTTCACTTGTGTCGGGACCACGCATTGAAGAGACTGTTCCCTTCCCGTGGAAACACTCTGTCATCTTTGCCAGAAACATCGCATGGGACATGGGAGGTTTGTTCCTGGGCGCTCAGTTCTCGGTTAACATGTCTGTGTCTGTGGCTAAGGTCTGAGGGTAAGCCAGTATCACCGTGTCCTGATAAACATGTGGCTTTGTAGTAAGCTCTGAAGTTAGCAAAGAGAGTCCTCCAATTCTGCTTTCTAATTCTTTATAAATCTTAGCATCATTTTGTTAATTTTGCAAAATAAGCAACTGGGATTTTATTATTATTATTATTATTATTATTATTATTATTATTATTATTATTTTAAAGACTGGCCTCATATAGCACCTGCTGGCTTCAGATTAGATAAATAGGCAAAGATGCTCTTGAACTCCAGATCCTTCTGCTTTTGTGTCCCCAAGCACTGGGATTATAGGTGCCATCGCCTCAGTGGACACCTAGGATTTTCAGAGGAATTGCGTTTAACCTGTGAATTATTTGGAGGACTGTGGACATCCTAGAGATAGTGTTTTTCAAGCCATAAATGTGAGACGTTCTCATTGGTTTAATTTCTTTCGGAGTTATTTGGTACTCTGTATATCCATTCTCATCTTGCTGTGTGTTAGTTACAGAGTGAAGTACCTACTTGGGAGTAAGTTCTCCTCCTTGTCAAGTGTTTGACCTGATAGTTCACTGCTCCAGATCTCTGAAAACAGCAGTCCCGTTGCGGCTCAACACTCTCACTGTCTCACCACACACGGGTGGGACTGGTACTAATTAGTCCTCGTTGGTGTATTAATTAACCTGGTATGACAAGGAGACCCATCAATATGGAAGCTTCCATAAGAGAAGTGTATTTCTGCTTCAAGGAGTAGTCCAGGCAGCCCAGGTTGGCAGGACAGCTGTGCCCTGCGAGACCCAGGTCCTCCGGGTTCCCTTCCTGTCTTTGTCCCAGTGGTTTAATCTGAGCTGCAGTTACTTCTGTGTTATAGTCTGCAGGAAAGGAGGCCAAGCTTATCCATGGCCAGAAGCTTGTCTTTGATGTGAAGACAGTCTGCATGGTGTACACGGCTCCTCCATCCTGTCTCATTACCTGCTCTCGCTTGTACACAGCTCACCCATCCCCTTGCCTGCACTCACTTGTACACAGCTCCCCTGTCCTGTCCCATTACCTGCTCTCGCTTGTACACAGCTCCCCTGTCCTGTCTCATTACCTGCTCTCGCTTGTACACAGCTCCTCTGTCCCATTACCTGCTCTCGCTTGTACACAGCTCCTCTGTCCCATTACCTGCTCTCACTTGTACACAGCTCCTCTGTCCCATTACCTGCTCTCACTTGTACACAGCTCATCCGTCCCATTACCTGCTCTCACTTGTACACAGCTCCCAGTCCCCTTGCCTGCTCTCGCTTGGCTCTGAAGACACCAAATGCAGCTTTGGCTACTGTGTGTCCAGCTAAAGCTCTCTCGGGAACAGGGACCCCTGAGTCACAGCTACTGGGCATGCTCTCCTTCGCTTACCTCTCTGTAGCTAGAGTTTTCCTGCCTGGCCCACAGTCAGGACAAATCTCTCTCACCCACCAGTCCCACAGCCGCTCAGACCCAACCAAGTAAACACAGAGACTTATATTGGTTACAAACTGTATGGCCATGGCAGGCTTCTTGCTAACTGTTCTTACAGCTTAAATTAATCCATTTCTATTAATCTATACCTTGCCACGTGGCTTGTGGCTTACCGGTACTTTACATCTTCCTTGTCCTGATGGCGGCTGGCAGTGTCTCCCTCACCCAGCTTCCTGTTCTCTCAATTCTCCTCTCTGTTAGTCCCGCCTATACTTCCTGCCTGGCCACTGACCAATCAGTGATTTATTCATTGACCAATCAGCAACACATTTGACATACAGACCATCCCACAGCACTTCCCCTTTTCTTTTCTTAAAAAGGAAGGTTTTAACCTTTACACATCTCCAAAGTCAGCTTGGTATATTTGGGAATTTGGGCGTAGCTTCTCTTACTACTTCCTGCTGGAGGGGGGCGCTGTATCTTATGGGGACACAAAGAATATTTTAGGGTTATAGAGTAGTCCATGAGGGTGTATCGTCTGAGCCAGTTGCCTTGAAACGGTTCTGGATGTTGGATCATCTGGGCCATGGTGTCATCAGAGACCTTTCAGGGGGTCTTGGCTGGTCAAATCTGATGTGTCTTAATCTGGAACAAATCCATAGCCTCTGGCTTTCTGTGGAAACAAAAGCAGAGCCTCCTTTCCAAAGCAACATATCCTTACATCCAAATTTTGAAGTCAAGGTACCTTTAAAATATACATTTTGGCGGCTGGGCGGTGGTGGCGCATGCCTTTAATCCCAGCACTCGGGAGGCAGAGCCAGACGGATCTCTGTGAGTTCGAGGCCAGCCTGGGCTACCAAGTGAGTTCCAGGAAAAGGCGCAAAGCTA